TAAGTGAATAGAGACGTCCTCATATGACAAATATAATAACACGATACACATTTTTGGGTTTTATTTTGGTGTGGAAATAGAAACAAATTCATTAGGTTGGATAGAAAAAAACAAATTTTTCATTGAAATCACCCTAACATTTTTGTTCTTAATAATGATTTATATGGTAAAGAATGAACTTCGAGATGAACTTTTAAAATTGTGATCATAAATTGGGACAAAGGGAGTATCCAAAGAGAAGAAATGTATAAAGTTGTTCTAAGAAAATATGAAAAATTACAAAGGAGTTACACAATGGAGATGGGAAAAATGGTCAGCAGAAATCCTAAATACAAAAAGCAAAACTCGACTTTGGTTGAGCACTTTTGACACTGCTAAAGAAGTTACTTTTGCTTATGGTAAGGTAACCATTGAATCAAGAGGCACTAAAGAGATAAACGGTACGATCACCTCATATTGATAAAATAATTTCTAATCATATATGAAGGGCATAATATATAGATATGTCCTTTAACTATGTTTCGAATCACGTTTATGCGCTTGAACTTTGGGTGTGCACAAGTCGACACTTAAACTTGTATAAAGTTGAACAAATAGACACACATGCCCAACATGTCATCCTACATGATATTTTTTGTCCTACATGGTGTCCTACGTGTATTTTACCATGAAGGACTCATGTGTTTATTTATTTAAAAGTTGAATAGTTAATGTATGTGATTGTGCGTTATGAAAGTTGGAGGTCAAAGTTTAAATTTGAAGCCAAGTTTAGGGTCCAATATATGTATTATGTCTATATGAAGCGTGTGAATGTTCGGTCTGATGCTTCCTTTTTTTTCCATTTCATGAAGCAATGGCCTCCAAGGAAGAGCTTCAAGTAAAGGTGCAGTAAAACCCTCAGCAATTCACGTAGTCAAAAAATCCAACAAGAAAGTCGGAAAAAATTCCCAACTCTTTCTGCGTCTTGTACGTATTCGCGTGCTGGACCATGACTCAACAGACTCGCCTAGTTCCGAGGAAGATAGAACAGACTCTCCTAGTGACGAGATGTCTGAGGGACATGAAAGGACGCATGTAACAGAACTTTTCATTGAGAATGGAATGACCAACGAAATTAAATGAAGTACAAAGAGAAGAGAGATTTAAACTTGCATAATACATAAATATGCTCATTAACTTGGTTTCGAATCACATTTATGATCTTCAACTTTGGGTGTGTACAAATAAACACTTACACTTGTATATAGTTGAAAAAATAGACACACATGTTCTACATGTCATCATACATGTAATTTTTTGTTCTACGTGGTGTCTTACGACTATTGTGCCATGTAGGACTAATGTGTTTACTTATTCAAAAGTCTGATAATTAAGGTGCATGTTTGTGCATTATGAAAGTTGGAGGTCAAAGTTAAAATTTGAAGCCAAGTTTAGGGTCCAATATATATATTATACCATTTAAATTTGATGCTAGAAGATTTGATTAAGTACAGGAGGGTTAGACGGTGAAAATGAGGCAAGTGGTATACAAATATTCGAGATACAAGAAAGAGAACTCGATTTTGGATGGGAACTTTTGACACTTCTTTAAAAGTAGCTTTGTCTTATCACATTTTCAGCGAAGAATTATTTATGTCATCCTTCAGAAGTTGAGCTCATCTATGTTATTTCTATTTGAGAAAAGGTTCATCAATGTCATTATTTGTTAACTGAAATGAACTAGATGATCCAACTAACGGATGACATATACGAACCTTTTCTCAATGTTCGATGGCATATTTTATTCTTTGTTCTTAAAAAGAATAATTTAATCAATGACATGGCTAAATCATAATTGACCATGTGTAAAAAATTGTTGTGCATAATCGAAACTTTTTTTAGTTAACATATATAGACATAACCCTCTTCTCAAATAAAACTTATATAATTGAGTCAATTTTTTAACTGATAACACAGATTGAGTCTTTTTTAAAAGTTCAATGACACATTTATGACTATTTAATCAATTATTAATGTTGATTTTTTTTAAGTCCCCATATATGATAATGTATAAAAATGAGAAGTGAAACAAAATTGAAGTACAAAAGTATAATTATTTGGATTTTAATTTCTTACTATTTCTATAGCAATGACCACTAAATTTAAAATTATAAAATGACCATCAAATGCTAAAAATTTAAAGAAAATACAAAAGATCCGAATTACTGATTTGTTTTGAGAGTTTTTTATTTTATTTTCAAAGTATGCTCAGCTATGAGTTTTTTTAAATTTTCTTGAACATAAATTACATTTTTGGAGTTACCTATGTGTGACATATGAATTTTTTGGTGGAGATATAATTTTCACTTTTACACATAATAGATTTCAAAATGACATTGTTTAAAATTCAAATGTAAGTAGACATAAAGAGATCTCATTTCCTTGTTTCTTTGTCTATTCTACAAACACATTTTAAAACTTACATATGTGTATATTCAAGTACTTTAGGTTTGATTTTTATTTTTTGAACATTTATCTAATGAACTATAAGAAACTCATTGATGGATTTATGACATCCTTATCACGTGGAAAGTTTCTATTTTAAACTCTAGAGAAGCAACTTAACAAAAAGAAAAATCTAGGATTTTATGTGATTTTGAGAGAAGTGGTTTTCTAGTTCTTTATAAGGATATATAATTCAAGCCGGTGAGTGTAAAAATTTGAAAACTCAGATCGCTTACCCTATTACAATATGAATAGAAGAAAAAGACCATTTTAAATCCCTTCTATTTAAAAATGAAGATCTCTTCTGCATAAGGACAAAAATTTCTTGTAAAGCCATAAAAGTATCAATCAACACTACCCAACAGCTAAATAAGTCCATAATAACATAATCACACCTCAAGAATTGGAGGTTTAGCTAGATATCATTAAAAGATAGAAGTTTCAACCAAACTGTGTTTCTATAGAGTGGGTAAGACTTATTTCATCTTTACAAAGGTCTAATTTGACGAATTTTGAACACCCATTTTCAATTTCTCAAAAATGGCAATCGTTAAATCTTTAAAGATAAGGAATATATTATCTATAAACTCCTTTTTGAACTCCCACCCTGATAATTCCTATTCTATATTGAAACCTAGATAGAACGATAGATCAACCTATACTAAACTAAATACTAAAAAATGAATTTATGGTCGGCAACAATATACTGTGAAAGAACATTCAGTGCAGTATATTAGGATCGCCGATCCACTCGTTGATCGGCCCTTTGGTCAATTCTATTGCCTTTTTGCTTTGACCTTGAGTATCTTTAAATTTGTAACTTTGGGAGAATACATCATGGAACCGTTTGGTGACTCTCCCACTACTCTTTTCTCTCACCGAATTGACTTTATTATTGAGGGCTTTGCCCACTAAAACTTTAGGCCAGACCATGTCAATTCGAATACTTGCCCAATGAGATAGGGGATCATCAGACCTTATTTTCTTCATTCTTTCGGTTGCTTTATTTGTTTGTGCTCATTAATATTCATAATTTTTTCCTCAATCCCAAAACCTGAAATTCAAGAATTTACATTGATACAAATATGTCTTTCAGGACACTAAATCTATTAAAATAAATCCCTAATGAGTCGAAATTGTGGACTCACCAATAAGTGCCTCACTTGTATGGATGTGGAAAGGATGGGTACAAAATTAAAGATTGCCCAGTTCTTAAGGGTAAGGGAAGGGATGATAATATAGTGGACTCTAGTTTTTCAGATGAGAGTTCTCTTAAGATGAATATGTTTTATGCTCTCCAATCTAGAGAAGATCAAGAGTAATCTCCTCATGTTGTCTCCGGTATGTTTTTTATGCTTTATTAATTTCTCGGTTTCTTGTCTTTTGTGACTTGGTTTGTTGGGCCTTGAAGTTATTTTTAGCATGAATGATGTATAGAAGTGATTATATAGGCTTACTTCTAAGTGAAAGATAATGTTCCAAAAAAGTAATGTTATTGTTTGTTTATCTATTGTCATGATTCCCTTATGTGCATGTTCATGAAAAAATCTTAGGTCTTGATAGAAAATAATTATATACATTGTTTTGCCTCATATGTGGTGTATTTGAGTAGAATTGCATATAAACTTTATGATATGAACTAATTAACATACTTTAGTTAGGAGTTCAAATATTCCTCCTTTAATAAAGGGTTTTTGAGAGTAAATTGCATTTAGGATCCATGAGTGTGTGTTGATCATATCTAGTTAGGAGAATTTAGTTCCTCCTTAAATGAGTAAATATAGAATTTCACGCATTTTTAGTTTTTAGAAGTACTTCTTACTCCCTTGTGTTGCATTTAATATGTTTATCTTGGAAATAAATTTTTCTTCCTTGATTGTGTGCATTTAGATGTATTGCATGGAGGATGGCTACAAGTTTAGGGACTTTACCTCAATAAGTGTATAGAATTATCATTCGAGGATGAATGATCCCAAGGGGGATATATTGTTATGCCTCAAAAACTAGCGAACTAAACTAGAAAGTTCTAGAGTTTGGTATGATTGTTAAAATCGTAAAAATGACTCCCCTACATAAAATGAGGGTTTAAGGGTTAGGGCGTCTAGGTAAGACCACCAAGTACAACCCAAGGGGTCCTTGAGGAGGACCTTTAGAACAGCCCCGAAACATGTCAAAAAGCAGCCACATTTGACAAGTATATGGACCCACGCCCCGTGGATTGAAGACATATGGACCCACGCCCCGTGGATTGAAGTCATAGCCCTGCACTTTTCTGCAATTGTTAGCCTCAGTTCACCACCCATGAGGGTGAATCACAATCAATAGACCCACTCACGGTCCGTGGATGGGGGTTTTCTGAGTGGGGTCAAATATAGAGTTTAGTTTTTAAGTTGAGGACTTAGGGGTTAATTTGCAATTATTTTGGGGTTAAGGGAGGTCGGTTGGTTATTTGTTTAACCACCTATATATGACTAACATACCTCTAAACTAAGTGAATTAAATCATTCTTCCAAGACCTCAAAACGAGCCCAAATTCTATCCAAATAATTCACTCTCTACAAGTGAAGAAGAAGAGAACTAAGACGGGCAGATTTCCTCCATTGCTTTTGTCTTGTGTTAGCAATCTGAATTAAGGTATGTTATCTTATTCATCTATGGTTCTTCCACCCATAGATCCCCAAATTTTCCCCCCAATTGAATGTCAAAACGCAATTCTAGCTAGGGTTTCTTCATTCATTGTGGGTAGTGTTAATCTTTGATTCGAATCAAGTTGAGGATACTTAATTATGATTGAATTGATATTTAATTATACTATTATGATGAATTTATGTGATTTGAATGGTAAACCCTAACCTATTTGATAAATTTTATATTTTGGGAGTTTATCTCAGAAAAGGTGAAATTGAAGAATTAGAATTGATCTTCTAAAATTAATGTCATGTGTAGTATTTTTCAAGATTTAGGAACATATAGACATGAATTAAACTAGACTTTATTATGTGTGATGGATCTTGACTTGTAAAGGATAGAATTTGAACTTTTTGCTAATTTATGACTAGATTCACACGGCATTAAAGAATGTGATTAGAATGCCGCAGAATCTAACGGTACTTGATTATTGTAGGCTTGAAAGTAAGGCTTGTAGTCATGAATGTTGAATAAATAGGAATCTGAGGATAGAGGTAAGGTGATATAAGTCTAATAGGTATATTTGTGGCGAAAGATCTATACTCAGCTAACCTACCATATAAGTTCTAAAAAGTAAACAGTGCTAGAGTAACTTGAACATGAATGTATTTTCAAGGACATCCTTTCATGACACATGGATCATTTATGATTAGTCTGGGAAGTTGGTTGAAAATTTTGAACTATTGGATAACTATATTTAATTAATTGGCGTGTAATATACAAGTTATAAATTGAGTTGATAACAATGAGCAATGTCTGAAGCTTTATATTCTAGGTCAAATTAAATAAATCAAGTTGACATATAGAGTAGGTAAATAAAAAAAATTGATTATTCATGAAGCATATATACATGCCTGATTTAATGGACTTATTTTGCTTTTTTTTTTGTTTGTTCTTTTTGCTGAAGCAATGGCTTCCAAAGATGAGCTTCACGAAAATGAGGTTGTCAAAAACCAATCAAAAGATGCTAGAGGAAATAAAACCAATCTAATGGGAGATTGTTCTGTAGTCTTGCAACGTGTTGTACGGATTTACATAACGGACAATGACGCCACAGACTCATCTAGTGATGAGGAGGAAAATCATCAAGGAGAGAACTCCAAACGACAAAAAAGGATTTGCAAAGAAATTATCATAAAAAATGGAAAGACCAATGTCACTTCAAAAATGGTATCCTCCAAAGAGAAAAATGTTACAAAAACGCACCAAGAAAATGTAAAGAAGTACAGGGGAGTTAGACAAAGAAAATGGGGAAGCTGGGTTGCAGAGATTCGAGATATAAGAATTAATAAACGACGTTGGTTGGGAAGTTTTGCCACTGCTTATGAAGCTGCTTTGGCTTATGACAAGGCAGCCATTGAAATAAAAGGTCCAAATGCTTTGACAAACATTCTTAAGCCGCCACCGAAGGAAATCGACCCCATCAACCATTAAGGAAGATAAAAGCCATGCAACTCCAAATATGTTTAGTTACTTTATTGGTTCAAGTTTCCATAGGTTTATCTTCTCCAAACTCTTTTTGTGAAATTGCACAATATATGTTCTTGTTGTTGTTGAACTTATCAATTTGAGGCAGATGAATAAGTATAATGTGGGTATTGATGACGTGGAGTTGTTTTTGTTGTATTTTTTGGAAAGATTTTCGGGAAAAAAAAGTCTAAAAATGATACTTTTGCTAGATAGAAAAATTTGGGTTATAAAAAAATATTTAGACAATATATGTTTAATGCAACAAAAAATTTCAATATAGTTCTACATAAATCGTAAAATATGTAATTGAAAGATACTTTTAAATTGTTCATGTAAAAAATTTCTGTAAAGTTAAATTATTTACATGTAACTATTACTTCTTGCCCCCTTTACATATTATGAGGAGCTTGACATAGATATTTCACTAGAGTTACTCATTGCATTTTTCTTATATCAAACATAAATTGATACTCAATTTTATCATCAATTTGATTAGTTGCATCAGGTAGATTTTGTACACTTCTCAATAAATGTAAGTTCATTCTTGAAATGGATAGGATGAGCCCATTTTTCTTATCAATGTAATAATAATTATGATTTAGTTTCAAACATGATCTCGTAAATAGAGACGTCCTAATATGACAAATATATACAAAGTCACATGGTACACACTTTTTAACTTGATTTTGACGTGGCAGTAGAAACATACTTATGACGTTGAATAGACGAAAACAGTCTTTTTTTAAATCACCTCAACATTCATTGTTAACAATGATCTATATGGTATAGTTTGAACTTCGAAATTGATTTTAATTGTGATCATAAATTTTGTCTTTTTTTAGTCTTTTATGAAAAATATAGTTGTATGTCCTTTTATAGGATATATTTTTTTTCTCTTATACATAAGAGATCTGGAAAAAAAATTCTTTCATTGAAATCGTAAGAAGACAAGAGATCTCATTTTCTTGTTTCCATGTGTGTTTCTACAAACAAATTCTAAAACTTATATATGTCTAGATTTTACTACTTTATATCTGTTGGTCTCTGAGCGTTATATCTTTTGAACTATATGAAATTCATGATGGAATGTAGGTGCCTTTTTTGTCATGATCCGCAAGGTCATTTTTGAAAACTTTTATAAACTTACCATTTTACCCCTCCCAATAGTTTTTCCGAGTCATGAATGATTGGTTGGTGACGTTGGTTGAAAATGAGATGATAATGATGAGCTAAGTTTGAAACTTGCTTAAGACCCTATACCTTTTGGACCATGTGTATTAAAGGTCTTATTTTCTACAAAATTATTGTCTCGATTTGCTAAGGTTCTCTATCCGATGACGCCAATTACTATCACCACGGTTAAACGTTTTCATCATTGTAAGGTCAAATTAATGCTACTCAAGAATTTAACTTTGATGTCATGAATACTTAGTCAATTTATACGTATTGAAGGGATAAATATTAAACTCAACTAGTCACACGTTCAGATTACTCTATTATAGAATTTATTACTTCACTATTGGATTGTATAACTAATTACTTTATATTTTAATTGGTACTTGTAAGAGAAACTAGGAAAAATTAAGTGGTTTTTGATTTAGAAGAATGAAATAACTTAATCGTTATGTACTTTTTAAAAAATGGAGAACGATGGTGTTAATGACCAATGATTATGTAAAGATTAACTTCATGGTTTATCAATGATAATAAATTAATTAATAGAAATTTATGGTGCCTCAATATAAGGTTTTGAAACAGTTAGTGTTCTCGTTAATAATGTTCGTAATTTACTTTGCTGTTTATTTGATTTATCATATTAAATTTCAAGTTTTGATATATTGGTATACCGTAATTAAATATTAGGTTTATCGTATGTTGAATACTGATTCAAAGTATGACCATGTTAATTAAGTCTGTTAGTATTGTCCTATATTTTGGGGCTAGTTAGCAACTACGTTATCATGGTGCAGTAATTTCTAGTTGTGTTTTTGTTAGTAATTACTTATTTAATTAATTTAAGTAGTGGTCATTTGGTGACTTAATAGTTTGTTATTTTAATTCTATATAGTGGCCATTGTTTCTTCCCAGAGTTTTCCTGCTTATTTACACCAATGCCTTTGGTACCAGAGTCATGTAAATCAATGGCAACACATTCAGTGTGGAACAACCGCTCATTCCCATCTTCAAGGGAGAAAACTATGAATTCTGGAGTATTCATATGAAAATAATACTCAAATATCAAAATCTTTTGGACGTTGTAGAATGAGGATTTGCACATATTGACAAATAAAAAAAGGAAGAAGATGCTAAAACAATGGTTTTTATCTAGCAGGCAGTTCATGATAGCAACTTTTCATGGATCATAGCATCAACCACATTAAAGTAAGTGTGGTGAATTCTGCAGAAGGACTTTCAAGGTGTTTGAAAGGTCATTGTGGTGAGATTGCAATCAGTTCAGCGTGACTTTAAAATCATAATGATGAAAAATGGAGAATCAGTTGCTAATTTCTTGTCCAGAGCAGTGGCAATTTTCAGCAAAATTGAATCATGTGATAAGAAAATTACTGAACAAACGATTGTGGAAAAAGTACTGCGAAGCATGAATTCATAATTTTATCATGTAGTTGTTTCTATAGAAGAGTCTAAGGATCTATTAATTTTTCCCTTTGATTATTTGATGGGGTATCATCAAGGCCATGAGGTGAGACTCAGTCGGTCTGTTGAAAATAATTAAGATAAAGCATTACAGGTGAAGAAACAAACAACCAAATATGGTGGGAACAATGGTCCATCAAGCAAAGGTCCAGGAAGAGGAGGATTTCATACTGGTCGAGGTCGTGTCTATGGAATAGGTTGAGAAAGGAATGATGGGCATAAGCCGTCCAAAGAGCAAATTAACACAAGAAATTGCATTTAATGTAATCATTATCAATGCTAAAAGCATATAAAGGCTAATTGTTGGTATAAAGATTACAAAATAAATTTTGCAGCAATAGAAAGATGAGAAAAAAATTATCTCCTTATGGCTTGCATTGATAAATATCACAAGAGAATTGATGTATGGATTGTAGATAGTGGTTGTTCAAAAAATATGAAAAGCATAAAATCTTTGTTCCAGGTGCTAGTTAAAAAGCAAAAGAAATAGGTGCAACTTGTCAATGCAAAAGAGTTGCAGGTTGAAGTAAAAGACACTGTGGGTGTTGAGTCTAGACACGACATAGTTAAAATGTTGAACATCGTTCATTTCGTACCTAATTTAGGATACAATTTCTTTAGTTTTGGACAACCGATGTCCAATGAGCATTCTCTTTTGTTTTGGTTTGATGATAATGCTTGTGTTGTAATGATAATTCAGGCAAAAAGGTTCGCATCACTATGATGACAAACAAATATTTCTGCTCGATCTTTCCAACATAAAAAGTTTTATTCTTGTTGCAAGTTCAAATGATGAGTTGAAGTTGTAGTATTTGAGGTATGGTAACTTCAACTTTAAGGGGCTAAAATTTCTAGTTGACAAAGGTATGGTTCTTGGACTACCAAAAATTGATTCCATTGAATTGTGTGAAGGGTTCATTTATGGAAAACAAACTTGAAAGTCTTTTCCTGTTTGAAAAGCTTGGGGGGCTCCAAGTTGTCTTGATTTAATACATGTTGATTTATGTGGACTTATGGATACAACAAATTTATTGGGTTTTATTATTATCTCCTATTAACATATTATTGTAGTCGCATTAGATGGGTCTATTTGTTAGAGACCAAATAAGAAACATTTCAAAATTCAACTACTTCAAAGCGCAGATTAAGAAGCAAAGTGGTTTGTGCATAAAAATATTTCGCACATATAGAGCCCGTAATTTCTTGTACAAGGAGTAATATTTTATATGAGGAAAATGACAATCATGGGGAGCTAACAACACCTTATACCTTGGAGAAAATTGGTGTTACTGAGGAAAAAATATTACATAGTGGTGGAGATGGCAAGAATCATGTTACAAGGGAAGGGACTTCCAAATCAATTTTGGGCTGAAGCTCTAATGACATCAGTCCATTTATTGAATTTGTCTCCAATAAAGTGTGTTATGTATCAAAATTTATTTGAATTTTGGAAGGGTATAAAACCATTTGCAAGTTATTTAAGAATTTTCTGTTGTATTGCTTATGATTTGGTAAATTAAAAATTTCGTCATATGGATGAAAAATCAAAAAATCCTTCTTTGATTGGTTACGACACATAATCTAATGCATATAGATGATATAACCCTCTTAATTGAAATATTTTAATTAGAAGGGATGTATATTTTTTGAAATGAAAAGTTGGAATTTGAGTTGAAGCAACGGTAAGATGCAAGAACAAATTCGTATGCTTACTAGAATAACTTTTGATGCAATTTAGCAGCGAACTCCTACAGCTACAGCAGCCGAATCTAGTACCACTTCTCCAGATTTATTTTCTTCAACTTCAGGGAGTAGAAACTCTTCATCTACTACACTTGAAAAGTCTGCTGATGAGCAAGTTCCTTTAAGAATATCAACAAGGCTTTAAATCTGAACACCAAGTACGCCAACGACATGTATACAACTTGTCAATTCTCTTTTCCAATGTCAGATCCTATACATTATGGAGAAACGGCTAAAATGGAAGTAGTAGAGAATGATGTTACATGAGATGAAATCTATCAAAAAGAATGCGAACTTGCAGAAGCATAAAGCTCGTGTCTTGGCAAATGGATATGCACAACAATATAATATTGATTTTGAAGAAACAATTTATCCGCTTGCTGGATTTGAGTTCTAGCGTTGGTTGCATAGCCACAATAACTAGTTTATTAATCTAACGTCCAGTCGGCATTTTTCAAAGAAGGCCTACAAGAAGAGATCTACATAACACAACTAGAAGGTTTTACAAAGAACGGTGATGAAATAAAGGACTATAAACTGAAAAGGGCATTGTTAGTTTCAAGGTAGCCACTCGCGCGTGATGCAGCAAAATCGATGGGTATTTTCACATAAAGGGATATACAACAAGTGATTATGAAACCATGTTGTATGTACAGAAGAAATTTAATGCATTCATCATTCTTTGCCTTTATGTTGATAATATCTTTTATTCTAGAT